AAATTCAAATTTAGGAGGAAATTCTGTATGTTTATTTGTTATTGAGGGTCAGACTATTAGCTTAGAAAAATACAAAGTTTAATATACATAAAAAGTAGTAACAAACACACTGCGGTGGCTTTAAAACATATAAGCACAAATTCCTTGGCATTCTTTCATTGAGAGGGGTATTATATGTTTCTTCCACTGAATCTGGTTGAATTTAGTAATTTGCTTGTAACTGATAGAATGCAAAGGAAATGCTGCTGCATAACTACAAAGATGGGCCATAAAAGTTGATGTAGCTTGGAGCTATCAGGTAAGAGAGTAATTACCCTGAGGCTGCTGTGCTATATAGAAACCAGGGCCAAATGAAGAAACAAGTATGTATTTATCCACAGTTCCAGTTTAAGTTCCACAACATCTGGGCTTTGGCTGAAAGTTAAGGACTGAGAATAGAATCATCCCATGGAAATGACACTCATGTGCCTTGTAGTTTAGAGCCAGTATTAACTACAAGGCACATGAGTGTCATTTCCATGGGATGATTCTATATTCAGTCCTTAACTTTCAGCCAAAGCCCAGACGTTGTGGAACATGTCTTTTTGCTGCGTTCTATCGTGATTCTTGATCTATACCATTCTAGAGCATAATCAAGTGGTTAAGTTACTAAATTTTGGAGTAATTTGTTATACAGTAATAAAAATTATAATACAATTGTTAAGTACCAAGTGAACTGTTAGCATAATCTGTTACAGGAGTTTAGAGGAGAAAGTAGTCACCAAAAGCTTAGGTGGAGGGAGGCTCCAGCCCTGAATTTGTAAGGTAGAATTTGATAGAAAGTATAGGATTCGGACAGTGTAACAGGGAAAATACGAAAGTAGAGTTAATGGTAAAGATCCTTTTTTTTTTTCTTTGAAATTCTTTTCTGAGAATAATTGCAATTTAAAATAAGTCAGTTAACAGAACACTGAAAAAAAAAAAAGAATAAGGTTGAATGGAAGAAGAAATAAATGAATTTAATTTCCGATCATTTAAAAATGAAGCTGTTGCGGCTGTGCAATGAACTTGTTGGTCTCTAAGGAGACTGAGAAACTGAGAAACAGACTACAGTAACTTTATACTGGTGACCTACCAGGCTGACATAGTCACTTAATTTTCACATTTTCTAAAAATTCTGAAACAAAGGCATTCTAAAGTGTTGTTTTTTAAAGTTTCATGGGAGAGCAAAACAATTTAATGAAAAGAGACTTTTCTTCATGTTTTTATGCCTTTTGGAGAAGTCTCTAAACTTCTAAATGACCAAGACAAAAGCAAAAAAGAATATTTTGCCCTTATTTGTGGAGGGATTTTTATTTATTTTTTTAATCTCTCATTTTAATTTTTTTTACATCATTGTTGATTTTTAAACAATATTTGCTTTCCCCTATCCCCTCAGGTGTAGCCCTCATAGAGTTTCCTTCACCAATGCATTTGTGCACCGTTACCGCAGTCCCCTGTGCTCCTCCCTCCCTGTGGAGGGATTTTTAAAAGCCACCATATGCCCATCTTGTGAAAGATTAAAAGTTGAGTGCTTTTCTTTGAAGACTTTGCAAATATCAGAAGATGTTAACAATGTAAAGGATGTTTGTGTATTATTCAAAATAAAGCTAAAACCTAGGGATTTAGAGACTTCTATTTATACATAAAGGAGTACACTTCTTATTTTAGGGGTGGATTTTGGGCAAAATGATGAGGTAGGCAGTGCTGAAACTGCAGACACTACTGAAACAGCTTCCTCCCCGTTTACTGCATTTTTTACCCTTCCCTTGAACATTTCTGGGTCTTCCCAGAACTTCTCAGTTCTCAGGCTATATCCAGGCCTATCACCTTACATCTTCTGCTACAATCTACTAGCCCTATTAGGAGTTTTCTCCAAGTTATCCTTTGACCTACTGATGGCTCCTGCATAAATATCATCCAAATGTACCTCACCTTAGTGAGGCATAGCAATCACAAGGAGAGGACCTTACAGAATAGGTGGCATACAAAGAATTCCGTTGTCTCCATATATTGAAATTCCTAAGAAATCTCAAGATTTTGATATTAAACTACATCTCTCAAACTTTCATTTTAACCTAAGAGGGACCCCAAATCTTTTTTAGATTATGTTTTTAGATGCCTTGTATGAAAAATTCATATCTTGCACTATTCATTTTCATATTTTTTTAAAGATCAATTTCTGGTTATTCTAAAGTTTTCATTGGAGACATTGGCATGTGACCAACTTTTTTTGTTCTTGTCCATATTCTTGCATTTTCCATCCATCCATCCATCCATGTACCCACCCACCCATACACCTATCCACCCAGTTTTTCATTCATATGGACAGCTCATATTATTCCTCAGCCTCATAGTTATTTGTGGTTCTCAAATTTGATATTCTTATTTTTTCAATTTAGTTACCTGGCACATAGTGGACAATATGTTAAAGAAATAAAAATACTTAAAATATAAGTGAATTGTTAAAAAGTATCACCAGACTTTGGTAACAGATGGGATATGGAGGGGAGATCACCATTTTGGGAATATGCCACCCCCAAAATGTGCCACTTTATCATGTAGGATATTTTGAGATGGAGGAAATCAAGATCCAGCAGACTCAGGAAGAATTTTTTACCGCCCTCTTTAACTATATAAAAGAATTTAGATAGGGACTCTGTAACAAAAGATATATTACCAGAGATAACTTGTTTTATTTTAATCTGAAAGAAAGACTCATCTGCATGAGAGGGCAAACATCTAATTACCAAACATGTGCTCTTCTAAGCTTCCTATGAATTACCTTCTTTCCTTTTGAAGTTCCAAAGTCTATCTGATTCTTAGCACAGGATTGTACATAAGAGTCAATTGACAATTTGAGTCTCCTATTTTGGGGACTTCTCCTGTTAATTTGACAATTGCTAATTTAATCACTAGACCAGCCAAAGAACTTAGAAGGGAAAAAGGGAAAACCTTTCTGCCCTTGTTGATCATCTACAAATAGCTTAGATGTTGTGCCCCCTTGTCTCCCTGCAAGATGTGTTATCTTTAAATTTCCCTGCCAATTTTCACCCATTTAAGTCTGCAACCTCCCAGAAGGTGCGGTGGTGGTGGTTGTATTTCATACATGCCTTCAAAGAGTCTCTAAGGTGAAGTTACTGTACATTCATTGTCTATTCTGGTTTTCCTGTCTCTCATGAGTTGCTCAATCCCCTTTGTCTGAGGGGCTATCTGTATGTAACTCCTGTGAAATATTTTGGGCCTATTTAATAACTGGTTTATAAATGAGTAAAGCCAAGTTATGTCATATGGAAACCAGATCTTAGTCAAAAAGACTTTGTGGAATACCTTCATAGAGCTTTAGTTTGCAACTAGGATTGTTCTAAAAATATATTGAAAGAAGGAAGTCAGCTGCTAACACAAAGGGTTATTACTCAATAGTAATTGTGTAGGAGTTGCTATGAGGACTAGAATGGAGATAGTACATTTAACAATTACCTTAAACTTTACCATGAAACACATAGAGGCTAGTTCCATATTTAAGGTCTACTTAGATATGATCTATATTTTAAGTTTAGAAAACAATAAATTCAACATGAATTTATAATTTGGCAATCCAGGAATAAATAAATCTTTTGGGTCAAGTTAATACACATGAATGTTGAAAGTAAATGAAAATGAATTTAAGACTTGGTAGTTTAAAATATACAAGTTAAAATATACAAGCTAAAATATACTATAGAACATAAATCATAAACTTTGAAATGAAAACCCAACTATATTACTTTCACAGATATTTTTATATTTGTAAACTGAAAAGAATCTATGGCTACACTGTATTTATAGATTCAATGACCCTTTGTTAAGTTTAGGTATTAATAAACAGATAAAAATAAGCAACAAAAGCGACAGGTAAAAGTTACTTTGGATAGAAAAAGTGATGCATTTTCAAGGCATAAATGACTGAAAGCATAAAATCTGCAGATTCTACTCTATTTTCTGAGTAAGACTCATCTGTCTATTCATTTTGCAATCAAAAAAAACTTTTATGGGACCTAACATATTTCAGGCATTATACTAGACTATAGAGAGGAAAGGTTCCAATGGTGGAGATACACAGGTAAACACAATTCCATTCAATATAACATGTAAGAGGCCTGTAGAAATGATTAATCACTATAATTATTTATCTTTTTAGGATAAGAGTCTTCTTGGCAGAAACTCCAAAGGCGTTTTCAAACCCACACAGATTCTCTCCCATGGGTCTGACTCACTAAGAGGAATTATACTGTCCTGTATTAAATGGATCCATATCATGCTATCTTGGAGTCCAGATTCCCTGAATACTTAATTGTTACAACAGCAGAGTGATGAGAATTCTACTTGATCTCTGCCAATTTGTGCCATTTTTTGGTCCACTTGTACTGCTCACATTTCTAAGACAAATAGGATCCTGTTCTCTGATCCTCTAGCAGTGAAAGAAAACTTAACATTTTGGATTCAAATGCACATTGTCCAGTTTGATCCCTTGGTTTGATCCCACGTTCTACCAGCAGGTGGTAGGGAAGTCAAAGATAATCTGTTTATAATAGTTTTTAAACTAAGATCACAAGTACAGTAATGATTTTGACACTTCTGCATAAATAGCACCTATGTTTATGACAACACTTGTAGATATTGTTTTACTTACTTTATTTGACTTGTTAAACCTTTGTGTTTTTTTGATCATGTTTTCAGTCTCAGAATTTTAAGCGTCAGCATTATTGCTATTATTTAAGAATACTGTGTGTATGTGTGTTGGTTTAGCTTACTTAAAGCTTGTATAAAATAGGCACAGTCTTTATGTTCAAGTGAATACATTACAAAATTTGAAAGCATCATTCATATGTTTGAATATTAATATCTAGGAAGGTTTTCTTCCTAGAATGAAAAAATCAGAGAGCTTAATTATCCATTTTGCTTATTTCATTTCTTATTCTGCAATAAAAGCACTTACTGACCATTGTATTTTCAGGTTCTAGGAAACATCCAATTATACTTGGCATACATCATTCATAATTCCGCAGGTCCTTTAGCATCTTCTGTGACATGAAAACAAATAAACTAACATCAACACATATGGTCTTTTCGCCATCTTTTTGTTTTTCAAATAATTTTGTACAAGTCCTTGCATGCATAAGATTCAGAGTAAAGGTAACAAAGGCCAAATAGAACATCAGACTAATTTCCTATAATTGGTACACAATCTAAATAGTATTTAGGACCTGTAATATTGCACTTTAAACACACTTTGTGTCAAATATATCCTCAAAATACTCAGGAAAGACTTTAAAAGAGCCTGCTTGTTTCAGAAAAACTTTGTTTTTTAGAAAGTATTCTAGGTACTGCATTTCTTTTTTTAAGTATATCTCTTTCTCAAGGAAAGTGCACGTTTTTAAAACTTTTGTTTCTTTATAAAAAGAATTTTTTTTTAAAATTCCAGTGGCTACTCTATTTCAATAAAGTAATCAAAAGGGTCATAACATGATTCTTTCTTGATAATCTAACCATTTTCATAGAAATAAATATCTGGTGATTAAAAGTCATTTTTCTTTTGATAAAATTTTAACATTTAAAGTTAGGAAATAATATTAGGGATAAAGTAATCTGCTTTAGCTACTGGAATCAGTATATTTAATACACAGAATATTTGGCATTAAGCATGTGGTATTAATTTCAAGTCTGAAATAATATTTCCTTTTTGAACTCTGACAAGTTTAACAGACTATATTGTTGAAAAATCATTTGGTGAGAATATAGAGATGGCCTTTACATTTTCCCAAATTTTATATAAAATAAATACAGAAGAAAATGTAATTTAGCTAATGTTAGAAAAGTCATACGTAGCAAACCTACAGCAAACATTGTACTTAATGGTGAAAAGCTAAAAGCATTTCTACTAAGATCAGGAACAAGACCAGGATGTCTTGAAAAAAATATGAAATTGTCCTTAAATTGCAGATGACATGACAATATACACAGAGACCCCAAAAGACTTTGCCAAAAAACCTACTAAAAATAACAAATGAATATAGTAAAGTGGCAGGATACAAAATCAATACACAAAAATCAGCTGCATTTCTATATGCAAACAATGCATCAGAAAAAAGGTAAATATCTGATTTACAATCACACCAAAGAAGAATGAAAACACCTTAGAATAAACAAAGGGAAAGAAGGACCTATATACTGAAAACTATAAGGCTCCATTAAAGAAATAAAAGAAGACAAAAAGAATGTAAAGAAATCCGATGCTCATAGACTAGAAGAATAAACATCATTAAAATGCATAATATTTAAAACAATCTGCAGATTCAATGCAATATATCAAAATTTCAATGATTTTTTTCCAAGGAAATTGAGCAAAAAATTATAAAATTTATAAGGAACCACAAAAGGCCCCAGATAAAGCATTCTGACAGAAAAGAAGAAAAATGGAGGCATCACACTTTATATCTTCAAATTATATTACACAGCAACAGTAATCAAAACAGTATGGTACTGGAAAAAACAGAAGCACAAGCCAATAAGATGGAATACAGTAGAAAGTTCAGAGATAAACCCAAACAAATATGGACAGTTAATCTTTGACAAAGGAACTACTATCATAAATGGAGAAACGAAAGACTTTTTAACAAGTGGTGTTTTTGCTCTCTCAAAGTTTCTTGTGTTTTATTTTACTGATGGTTTGGTCAGTATTAATTAATTAATTAATCAATTACTTAATGCATACAAGAGCTGGTGTGTATTTATGCATACAAAAGCCAGAGGTATGGGGGTGGTGAGAGGATTCACCTGACATGGAGTAGGGAGCAGAACAGGGGGATCTACTGAAATATACTGTTGAGGGAAGCAGTGGCAAGACAGGAGAGGTCTGCTGTGCCACGTGAGTCACCTCCCTGGCCAGCTGGGGAATCAAACTCATGCTGCAGTGGCTGGCGATAGCTTGATAGCACTGTCTTTAACCCCTGTGCCACCAGGGAGGCCCTGGCCAATATTTAACCTTTCTGTTATTCTCTGAAGACAGAACCAATTGAGACATAGACGAGGGAGCAGACAGATAGAAATCAAGAAGATACCAGTTTCATAACAATGAAAACTGGACTGATAACTATAGTTACATGCACTGCCATAACAGGTGTCTTAGCACATCATGCCAGACTTAGCTATCTAGGAAGTAGCACATCTGGACAATCGCAACTTATAGTACTATGGGTTTCCCTGAAACCTGAGCAACCTAAAAAGTTTCCTCTTTCCTGGTCAGCAAGAAAATCCAAAGAAGAAAACATGTCAAGTCAAGCAAACCCATTTCTTTTCCTAGATGCATTAATTAGGTGAGTCCTTTCACTTCTTATTGGGGGCAGAGGGCCAGTGAATAACAGAGTTGAGAGACTCTAGGCAAACATGATACTAGAGTAATGCAACCTCCAAGCCCCCAGAAGTTTATAGGAATGTGTGATTCCTAATAACAGACAAGAGGTTCTTTATCCACCACTCCCCACATAAGTCAGTGAAAATAGATAACAGGAGTTTATAGGTGAGGACTTCTCATTCCAAATGCTACAGGTACCACACCTCTAGCTCCCTTGTTACAATCTCCCCTTTGCTGATTCTTTGTAGTCAGTCACTGCACACCTGCACAGACTTCCACTCTTACCAAAGACTTTCTCTGGAAATATAACAGTGGCTAATCTTTTTTGGGGGCCTGTAAATCTTACATCCTAAGTAATCACAATATATTAATAGTGTCATTTAGATAAGCCTAAGTATTGGGTAGTATTCCTCTGTCTTCTGAGATGTTTAACTGGATCATCTGGGTGGGTGCTTTTCCTGGTACTCATAGACTATCTTACCTTCAGGGATAAGCTCTCTGGGTCACCTAGATCTTTTATGCTTTCAATTCCTCTGTGGGTAGATTAGGACATTGTTCGGTAGAGAAGAGCATGGATGGAAGGGATGTCTGCCTTGACAAATGTATCAACTGCCCTCTTTTCTTCCTCTGACTCATGATTTACTTTTTTATTTCTCAACAGGTAAAACCTCTGCTACCCTGCCTAGGGCCATAATTTATAAAACACCTCCCCAAGGCTGTGATTTTTTACTGGATTCACTTTATTTGGCCTGTCCTATTTTGCCTGTTTATTAGGTATAGAAAAGTATCACCAGAATATGTAATTATGAATGGGAACTAGCTGCCTTTTGTTAGAATAATCATCATTTTTCTGAGACTTGAATAGAACTAAAACCAAAACTGAAATAATCTAAAGCTACCTTTCAATTTTCACACACTGAACCTGGTGATGGGAAAATATTTATCAGTCCAATGGCACATATTAAAAAAAACTAGCAACAACAAATGTTGGCGAGGATGTGGAGAAAAAGGAACTCTCCTGCACTGCTGGTGGGAGTGCAAACTGGTCCAACCACTATGGAGAGGTGTGTGGAGATTTCTTGACCTACTAAAAATAGAGCTTCCATATGATCCAGCAATTCCACTCCTAGGTATTTACCCAGAGGACACAGAAACATCAATTCCAAAGAGCACCTGCACCCCTATGTTTATAGCAGCACTGTTTACAATAGCTAAGCTTTGGAAACAACCCAAATGCCCAAAAATAGATGACTGGATCAAGAAGATGTGGTATATATATGCCATGGAATATTACTCAGCATTCAAAAAAGATAAACACATGCAATTTGCAGCAACATGGATGGCGCTGGAAGGGATCATGCTCAGCGAAATAAGCCAGAAAGAAAAAGAAAAATACCAGATGGTCTCACTTATAGCAGGAATCTAGAAAACTTAAATAAGGGACCAGGAAAATGAATAACTCTAAGAAAGTGAAAATCAAAATCAACAAAAAACTATGAACCAGAGACACTCTATGGGGAGTGGGGTGCGGGGACGGGAGGGATTGGGGTCAAAATAAGGGGGTTGCAATTGTATGGGGAATATAAAAATAAAATTTATTTAAAAAATATTTATCAGTCTTTAGGTGGATTCCAAATATAGATATCCTACCAGTTCAAATCTCATTATCCAAATATTTATATATTTTAAAAATGTTACCCATAATTCATTATTTGAACAGAAAACCTGGTATGATAAATATATTTGTTCAGCAGCAACATCATTTTAATTGGGAGGACCCAAAGAGTGTTGTACAACATGCTACATCTCAGCAGTTCTCCCAATAGGAATTCCAGTTGTGTGCTTGTGTTGGTCAATGTGTTTGCATTATTTCTATCAGCTTTTTCTCCAAGAGCTCAGAATTTTAATTTCCCGATGGTTGCCTTTCTATACTTGCAGGTACTACCAACCTGGGGTCTAAATAAGATAACAAGTAAAATTTTATTTAAGTCAGGGGATTGTTTAGTTAGCATATGAAATGCTCTAATCAGGCATAAACTCACAAGCAGTTAGCATTTGAAAAAAATCTAATCAGGATTGCACTCACCAGTGGCACCTGCTACCTGCTCTCATTTTCTCTCTCTAGTACTAGTAGATGTTTGAATTATAGCATATGGGAAATAAAAATAATTTTCATTGGTGAAATGAGAGTATTTAAAATATATGGGCTGGTTAGAAATATTGTATAGGCACCTTTTATGTACACAAAAAGATACAGTGTTGAGTGAGCTAAGCAGCCTAGATCAATGTGTCTCAATTCAGGGCAACTTTGCAATAAACAATGTCAACAATTTTTGGTTATTTCAACTGGGAGCAGGGGCTACCACTGACATCTAGTGGGTAGACTCTAGGGATGTTCCTTAGAATCTTACAGTGCACAGAACCTTCATCCACCCCGTACCCCAAACAAAGAATTATTTGGCCTAAAGTACTGGTAGTGTCAAGGTTGAGAATCTCTAGCCTAGATTCTTCAGGTGTCTTAGGAATCTTCAGATTCTTAGGAATCTTCCTATGTGAATACTTTAACTGGCGATTTTATCTTCTTGGCTAGAGATTTATCTGACACCTGCTGCTAGAATATTGCTGCAATTCTCTCAAGTGAAGTGAATGTCTCATTACAGGTGCGGATGG